ATATATATATGTGTATATATATGTTTCGACGCAGTGTGTGTGTGTTTTGTGTGTGTGTGTGTGTGTGTGTGTGTGTGTGTGTGTATGTGTGTATGTGTGTATCTCTGTGTGTGTGACGACGCGGTGGAATCAACCGCTCGTAAATTTTTAGGTATGCAGAGTTACTGCTGTTACCTCGATGTTTTGGCCTATTCATTAGCCTTGCTTTTGGTGAAAAAATTCCCCATCTACCTCTAAAATAGAAGTCCAGATATTTGCGATTAAAGGAAGTGGGAGTCGCCTGGTTTCAGAAGTAAAATCAGCGTGAAAATGGCCCCAAAGGTTGGTAATTTCAATCGGTTGACAGTCCTTGACAACTGAAAATTTACATACATGTATTTTGTGCCTTTAATCAACCTTTTTCAGTAAAATTCAACCGGAAATGTATTTTAAAAAGTACATAAAAGGTGCTGAGCACATTAACCAAAACTAATTAAAAATTGCCGAATTGGCGGTAAATTGCCAGGTTCTCCGATTTCATTATTTTGACGAGCATCTGATTTCACCACAATGCTGTGAATTTTTGTACAATTTGAGGTCGGGCTGGGGCATAGCTGTACCACCCACCTCCCGCCAAAAAAAACAACAAAACAACAAACAACTATTACAGCTAACTAGAACATGTCTTGTGTTCAGTATTTTCATGAGCATGTACATCTAGCAGGAAAAGAAAAGTAAGACGTTAGAATCAATTCGACCTTTTTTAAGTGTACATTAACCCTTATACTTTTATCTGATTTCGTCCGGAAAACTAAAGGCATTTCTTTTAAGGCTTGTTGTTCTCTTCTCGCAGCTTTCTGTATTACGTCATCAATGGCGAAGGTCAAGGTTTGTACCGTATCGACCTCGGAGATATCTCTCACAAGTGGACCTCTTCATCGACGTCCCTCCCTTCGTCCGCCACAAATACGCCAAAAGCCGAACTGATTGTGGCGATGAGCGATCTCCGAACCCACGTCATTGACTTTGACAACGTGCACCTGTACCTCGTGAACAGCTCAGCTCGTACCATGCAAGCAGCGTTCCTCGATGGCTCCAACATGAGACCCTTCCACGAGGACACGGTCAACTCTGCCTTCAGTGATGTGTCCAGCATTGCCTTCTACAACCAGGTGAGTGGCTGGTCATAGAATACTAGACAATCAACCTTTACCTGTGTCAAGTATTTCTGTCCCTTTGCATGTCTAACTCTATCTTTTCTTTTCTATTTCTCTTCCTTTTTGTCTCTGACTCTGTCCATGTCTCTATTGCTCATTGTTCTTTACTCTTCATCCTCTATTTCCCTGTTTCTCTCTCCTCCTCCCCCTCTCTATTTCTCTCTCTCTCTCTCTCTCACTCACTCTCTCTCTCTCTCTCTCTCTCTCTCTCTCTCTCTCTCTCTCTCTCTCTCTCTTTCTCTCTCTCTCTCTTTCTCTCTCTCTCCCTCTCTCCTGGAAGAGGTCAGGGCAATGTGAAGATGGAACCACCGCTCACTTTCAGCAGTAAGGATTCTTCTAACGTGGAGCAGCACACACGAACATCTATTTTACCTTAGTTGAACTTTGTTGAGATAGTGTTTCTCCGGTAACCTATCATTGTGCAGATTCTGATAGGAATCTAAAACTATACAATATGTATGCTCAAAGCATAACTGTTTTAATATTCTGAAATTTGTTAAAAATGTACCTACCGGCATCTGTGGTGTAGTGGTAAGGCACTTCACTGTCGCTCGCAAAAGATACAAGTTCGGCTCGCGAGTGTTGAGAAAATTGTTATAGAAATATTTAGTGGGTGGTTGGCGGGTGCTCAGTTGTGGTTTGCTTCTTCTTTCCTATCAAACAACTATCGTCCTTATCTCTTTATAAACAAGAAGATTTATCTACCCTTCTTCTTGTTTATGTTTGTTACTCTCCTGTAACACCTCTAATCTTCTGGCGCTCATATGACCTTATGCAGTTGCGAGCGCCGTAAATCCTTTACTAAAACTAATAGAAATATCTCGGTCTTTCTGCTGAGACGTTGTATCCATCTCAGTCCTGGGTTGGCTATAGCGGGCAGGATCGAGGCCCAACTCATATACGATCTAAATCGTGTCGATGAGTGCGTAGAAACACCAACATTGAAAAACTACCAGAAATACCACTGGAACTTAACGCGAATTATAACAATATTATTGAAAATGAGAGGAAAATCTCAAGCTAAGCTTGAATGTGGTTTCTCCTTAGACCTTCATCTGGACGAATGGTAGCAAGATGTACGTGGAGGAGTACGAGTCTCACTACAAGAAATACATGCACAACGAGCTGCTGTTCTTCACGCCTCCATACATGGGACTCAATGTGTACCACCCGAGCGCCCAGCCCACACCAGGTCAGTCCAGTGTGCCTGTGTGTCTAAGGGTTCGTATTTAATTTTGGTGTGAGTATGTATGTGGGGGGGGGGGGAGAGAGAGAGAGAGAGAGAAAGAGAGAGAGAGAGAGACAGACAGACAGACAGACAGACAGACAGACAGACAGACAGACAGACAGACAGACAGACAGACAGACAGACAGACAGACAGACAGACAGACAGACAGACAGACAGACAGAGAGAAATATATAAGGCGGGAGAGGGGTGGGAGAAAATCGCGTTTCAATTAACATCTTTGTATACTGTTACATTATTTTAGTGCATCTTTTGCTGTCTGTCATTTTGTCAACATTTACCCCTCGGCTTAGTGCCACACCTTGGAAAAGTCTTCTTTGCATTTGCTAGTGCTGTAATATTATGATTATTCTAGTCGAGTGTTGTTCTGTAATTTTATAAAAATCCACCCTGACACAATGACACAAACATCCTGCTTTATCCAACAGTTCCTTCCAGTGCTCCCGACAAGGTGGAGGCACTGTTTACGCACAAGTTGGCCTACATACGATGGAAGCCACCGCCGCGCCTGCAATACCAAGGTGAGTGAGTGGCCCGTTCGTGTTGCATATTTTCAAACCCCTGTATCAATAACGTAAGGTTATTCAAGAGGTGGGATCTCCGATCGCATGGCTTTGTATTGTATGACATTCATAACTTTTTCAACATAGTAAGGTTGTTCATGAAGTGGTGTATTCCGATCGCGGCCTGGTATCGGGTCTGTTCAACACTGTTTAAGGTTATATAAGAGGTGGGACCTCCCAATGACAACCCGTATCTATCTATCTATCTATCTATCTATCTATCTATCTATCTATCTATCTATCTATCTATCTATCTATCTATCTATCTATCTATGTGGCGTCGGTGGCCTAGTAGTTAGGCAACCGTAAGGTCGTGGGTTCGAATCCCGTCAGGGGCCCGACGTTGTGTCTTTGGGACAGGCACTTTACATGAATTTCCCTCACTTCACCCAGGTGGGAATGGGTTCCCGGCTATAGACAGCGAAATATCTTGTCAGTTTGTTAGTGTTTGAGCGCTTAATCAGCTGCTTGCACTGTATGCTTCCCGGGAAGCTGAGAATGTTTCGGAGTGTTCTATGGTCTGCTGGGGTCATAATATAGTGTAAAGCGCATAGAGCCTGCTGATGAGCGAGAATATGCGCTATACAAATGTTATTTATTATTCTTATCTATCTATCTATCTATCTATCTATCTATCTATCTATCTATCTATCTATCTATCTTATTTTTCTGTCTTATCACTACCACCTGCTCCCCCTCAAAGTTAGATGAGCTCATGAACTACTGTTCTCAGATGTGCATAATAGGTGATATTTTAAATCCTGGGCGTACTCTTTTTTTTCTGCTCCTTTTTTCTTCACACTATGTTCTAGACCGCTATCGACGTTACCCATTTGTGCCTAGCAGAAGCTTGATTTATCTCTCAGGTTTTGGAGCCTGGAACAATTGGACGTATGAGTTACAACTAGCCCTGTCACATGACGGCCACAGTGTTGTGGGCGACGTCCAGGAGTACAGCATCGCTGACCTCAGCCTGTCCGTGTCTGGTCTGAAGGCAGACTCAATCTACGTCATCAAGGTGCGAGCGAGGTCAGAAGCGGGATTCGGGCCCTGGTCCGAGAACTTCGTTGGCCGGACTCTGAAAAAAGGTGAGAACTAGCATGTGGGAACTTTGGTTCGTGAGTCTTTATTATTGATATTTCCTTCACAATGTAGAGCGTTTAGCTGGCGGGCTGCTTCGGAGCAGGGTAAACCTGGGCTGAACGGGATACAACATCCTAGCAGACTGACGGAGTTACTCGATTTAAAGTCAAATTTCCTCGGGAATCGAACTGATGTCTTCTGCGTGTAAAGGCTAAGGCTAAAAAGCCTGACCATTGCACCACATACCCTAGTGTTTATGAAACAGAAGCACCTGAATTTACCAAATGTTTTGTGCCACATGTGATGAAACCGGGTTTACGGTGGTCACGAGTATTTCTGTTACTGAACATCTCAGAACAGACTTTCGAGAGGGATTTGCAGTTTGCTATTTGCACCAATCATTTCTGATTTATGAAGTCAAAAAAAAAAGAAAAGATTATAGGGTATTACAGGCAAGTGTAGAAGTTAACTTTGGACACTGATTTCAGGCGGGCATTCGCCTGCATGAGATGTGTGTGTGTGGAAGGGCGGGGGGTAGTTGTTTTGA